TCTCGTACGCTGTTCAGTGCATTAGCGAAGGAACATTATTCACATAGATGAGACGGTAGTATTGGCCTTATTCCTTGGAGAAAAATCAAGAGAATAAATATGTGGTTGGGTTGATATTGCGGCAACATGCCTTTATCGAAGTCACAATCACTCTATCACTTCAGCTATTGCTTCGACAAAGGCATGTTGCCGAAATATCAACCCAACTATATCTCCATTGCTGGTTTTTCTCCAAGGAATAAGGCTAATACTACTGTCTTATCCATGTCCGAAAATCTCATTTGAATCTTGCATTGTAGTCCGCACACGGCACAGAGCGGAATAGATGATGCATGCATTGATGGCGGCGAACTTAGTTCAAAAGGACCATTTAATAAAACGGCCGGAAATTTCCCATTTTAAGCACATGCATACTTACTTAGGTGTGCCGGCGATGTCCAGCTGCATCGACGGAACTGCATCCGTTCGCAGGCGTCATTCCACGTTGGGCACGAGATTGGCCCTGACCAGATAGCTAGAGTCATAGCCATTGTCTTAAAAATGGTCGGAGCAGATCACCGCATTTTCCACATCAGTCCTGGGACAAAGGTGCATCCATGTTTTCAGGGTAGTTGGATTGTGCTTTAGGAACGTGAAAAATGAAATGCCTTTCTTGTACTGTTTAAAGTTCTTACGGGAGGCCAATGCACAGGGCGGCATCTTGCTGCCAAAAAAACTGCCTCCGATGCTGACTTTGACTCAACACCCACACACCACTTCGAATTTCTCCCACCCGCGGCATAAAAACACGCACCGTGGCCATATCGCAATACAACCCTGATGCTATACTGCACAATAACAAACAAGAACGTCCACGACATTTCTGCTTGACCACTGCCTGCCCAGCGACGTTGCTATGCAGCGCCGCCATGCAGGCCCGTGCGACTTTGTGACGTCATCGCCTAACGTTAAGGGGAGTGTCCTACATATATATGGGGTTTTGAAGTAAAAATGGGCATCTTAAAGGCCTTTCGGTGGAGCTCACAGCTCTGTCCTTCTTAAGAGCTAAACCCGTCTAGTTTGTGAGCTACGCACCCGAATATGGTTTGCTACAGTGCACTGTAGTAAACGCATAGGAGAGCGATGAAAGCCGCGATAGAGCATTTCGTAAAATTCCCGTAATGATAGCTTCATATTCGCATGTTTTTCATCTAAAAGGAGTGTTTCAGGCTTTAGTAGCACTTATTTCTCAAGCATTTTCACAGATTAGTGCATTGCACACATCACAAAACACCCACGGTAAGAAAAGTAAAAAAATGAAAAATGTTACCTTCATAGTGGTGATTAAGGAGTCTAATGTAATTTTTCCGGCGGAGCAGCTGCCTGAAATTGAAATGCTGACCTATCGAGGAGGATTTCGAGAAAATCGGTATTGCTGATCAAATCGTGCACGTCTGATTTAACAATAGGTGAATACAAAAGTTGGCATATTCCCTTTAATGGAAGGCAGGTGAGCTGGGGAACTCTAATTCAACAGCCGACGAACCATGGCATTCAGTGCGACAATGTTGTTGAGAAGAACCCACACGTTCAGGGGAGTGTAAAGTAATCCGTCCAATACAAGATGGCGGAGGATCTAAGAACTTCTTATTCAAGAACTTGGATAAAAATCCCTACTGGACGGCCTGTGAAGCCGCTTATTCAGACAGACCGAAGGAAACACGCAAATTGAATCGCACCACACTACCAACGAGGGAGATAAAGGACTGGGAATTCAGTAAGCAAGGAAATTTCTTGTCCAAGCCGTCAGGGAAGATAGGGTAAGTGAAAGATGCGCTGTGGCCAGATTCAATCACGCATCAATGTCAGCGTTTCAGCGATCAGCACCCGCTCCAGCAGTCACACCATCACTGAAGAAGGTATTGCCCTACTGCACGCAGAACATGTCGTGCTGTTAGTGCTTCTCTATCGCGTCACACTGTTAGTGCGAGCGATGGAGAAGCAGAGCAGAAGACATGCTTACGGTATGCTCATATACTGCGGCGGCAAGTCGCGGGAAAGGGGCAAAGGCCTGAGGCGAGCGGTACAAGTCAAACACAAGTGGCCGTGCGGGTTGTAAGGCAAACAGAAGCGGCCGACCAGGTGCGGCGCACCGTCCGAGGTCGAGAGCAACCCAGCAAGCCGGCCAGCTCGAGCCCACGTCTTTTACTCATATCTCATTATTTTCATAAGTCGCTCAGTCCCGCTCCGGTGGACCGTCAATTTACCGAACTTCTCCTTGACTGCCCCTGGATCCGCCCACGAAGTTTGCGCATATTACACCTCGCGACAAAGATTAAGCTAAGCGGTATATTCCTAAAAACGAAATGTTGACCTGGATCATTTTAGGTCAGCGAATTATTCTTACTTATAACGAGTCTATGGAAGATGTCCAATTGCAGTTCATGTTATCAATAAATTCGAAATGAGCACCAGAAGCTTCAGTAACAAAACAGGTTGGTTTTGACCTTGGTCAGCTCTTCATGTCTGACCTTAGGTCAATGGGATTTGGTCGTTCAATTGCTTTGTTGCTTAAGAAATTATCCCAAACATGTATGGTTTCATCTAACACTCCGCTGCTCCATCAGATTGAACGATTCCCTTGAAATTTACTTCGCTGAATCCATGGCTTGACTTTGACCTGCCGCAGGTCATCGGGCTTAAAAGATGCATCTGATTTTTTGGTATCACACGATCCGCTAATCAGTTGTCTACAACTATGCAAAATTTGGCGCGGCCACGCCGCGCGGTTCGGAAACCATTCTAGAGAAACGCTCGAAGGGGGTCAATTTGGCCCCTCTCACCCAAGCACGTGTTAATGGCGGTCTGCACAGATTTGGGAGATTTTCTGTCTGTCATGCATCTTAGGATTTTAAGCGCTAATTTTGAGTCATTTTACCCTGGTCACCCGTGGGTCTTGACCATGAGCGCTTAACCGATCACAAACGTCGAGTATATGCTCGTAATATACCCTGATAATTTATTCATGAGCACATGAGCTCGTTTCTTGACGACAAAAACTTCGTTTGAACATTTGAACTGCCTGCCAATTAAACGAAACATTTCATTATTAACGCGCGTATTGGAACGTTTTGAATGACAAATCAGGCGGCGACGAATGATGAACCACTTCCCGTTTTGGTTTTGGTGCTCAGTCCGCACTAAAGGATCACTGAGGCTCCGTAGCATGCTTAAGAGGTGCTAAATGGTCAAAGACTGACCTGCAAATATTGATTTTCTTTTAGACACCATATCAGAATAGAAAACAAAGAAACGCGGCTGGGTTATGTGTCAGCATCAGGGGTACAGCCAGAGCCATGGCAAGAGGGGGCACAGGGTTGACAAGGAGCCCCTGACAGTAAAACGGCCCGCTCAAAAAATCTCCAGATATGACCCATTTGTTATTGAGGACACGTTTTTCATATATATATATATATATATATATATATATATATAAATTACATCTTCCTCTTTTCTTTAATTCGGATATAGGCCAAACGCAACGGCGAGACCAATTCTGCCCTAAGTTTATAGTAAATGCTTTAACGAAATCACGCGTGAAATGACTGCATGGAATCAAGCGTCCGGCCTCTTCATTTGATACTGGTCCAGTGAACTCATTTTACACCGATAGAACTCAGTAACTTTGTACAATTTTTTTTAGGGTTGTACGGAAATAGCAAGGATTCTGCGAATGTAGATCGAAGATCAAAATGGTCAATAATTTGTATTTACATGGCCAGGCCGTGTTTGTTTAGATATCTGCAACATTCAGTCAGAATTGGTTTATAGTGCACATTATGTAACGTAGTTTTGAGCATGCGCACTCGCATATTTGAGAAAAAACACGACGCTAGGCGTTGCAGTCTCCCTAAGCCGCGCAACGTTAGTTTCCCAGACTCGCGGTGGTTAACGCAGGCGCATGAACCACAGTATCGGCACCCGGCACACAGGTTCAAACCTTTTGATGGCATTTTTTCACTATTCGATTATGCAGAACAATGAACGCTCTCTGGGAAACATGGGGTGGCCTTGTGCGTTTTGAACCCCTTTCGACCCACTCCATTCAGCGCTCATGAGACCCCTTATTTCCTTTCGTTAAAGGAGCTCCCCTGAGTACAACACTACAGAACGCATTCTTGTCAAGGTGAAGAGCTGAAAGGCCATTTTGTCCCACCGCGGTGTGTCTTCCAGCCGTCATTCTGGCGACACGGGGCGGCGTCCCCTGACCGATCATCATCGATTCATCATATCACATTGTTCCGCTCCCTGACACGGGAGGCGTTTTGACCAGCGCAGTTGGCCCGATAAACCGGCACTAAAACGCCGACAGACGCATGAACCGGCACTGAAACAATTGGAAAAGGGTTGAAAGGCGATGCTGGAAAAGGGTTGGAGGGTCCATCGTTCGATAATGGGCCCCTGACTGGCACAGGACTCTTCTTTTACCTCAGTGTGAGCACTCATCATAAGTTCTTGTTTCCTTCAATTGCCAGAGGGCCCCGACCAACGCAAGAGGCCCCCTGCCATTGGGGCTCCCGTCCCCGACCCTGTTGAACAAATCTTCCCCTAGCCGATTCGAGGCCCCATGTTGACACAGAACGCCCTGTTAGACACTGTGGGCCCCTGAACGATACAGGAGCCTGACCGATGCAAATCGCGGACCTGGCCTTGTTCCTGCTTGGAGAATGGGCCCCAAGAGCTCAAACCAACACGGAACTGACTGCTCGTTGTTCATGACCTCTGGTCGAAATAGAGGAACGCTCCGTCTCAGGGGTTCATATTGGTGAAAGAGATCATCTTACCGACATTTGAGATCATGGCCCCGCGGGCGGGGTCCTTAATGTAACCAACAGCTAGCCCTTCAGACCCCTCAGCCTGCCCATCGGGCCGTTGATATTTGGTCTCGAGAGAAACTTCGACCCCTCTTCGAGCCTCTCAAGCACCCCCCGACTCGGGGTCACTTTCTGCCACAGGACCCCTGTTCGACGCTCTGGCTTCTAACCGATATCGGAGCCCCTCATTGTGTTAGGAACCCCGAACATTGCAAAACGCGGACCCCAGCCTCGCCTCTGCTTGGGAAATGGGTCTCAAGGGCTCAGACAGACATGAAACTGACTGTTCGGTATTCGTGGTCTCTGGCCGACTTAGACGTCCGCGTTGTCCCAGGGGCCCCTCAAACAGTGCAAGAGAACCTCTGACTGACATTTCAGGTCACGACCCTACGGGCCGTGATTCTTTATGTGATCTTCAGCCAGTCCGTCGGGCCCTTATGCCCTCCAACCGGGGCTTTGATAGTCGGCTGCGGTGGGCCGCCCGGGCTCCTATTCGGGCCTCATCAAACACTTTCCTTGGTCGGCTCGTGGCCCTTGCGAGCACAAGGCCCTCTGCTAGGCGTTGTGGGCCCCTGACGGATACAAGGCCCCCAACACTGACCCCGACTTTATGGCTTAATGGGTACGGTGAAGCCTGACCGACATATAGGCCCATATCGACTCAGGGGTCCCCGATCGGTACAAAGCGCCCTATGACCGTTATCTGAGGGCCCGTCTTCATAGGTCAGGGTCCCTGAATAAGACTTCGACCAGCCCTTTATGCCCCCAGACTCTCCAACCGGGCCCTTGATCATCAGACCGGGTGGGCCGTCTAGGCTCTTCGGGCCTCCTCGAACACTGCCTCTGGCCGACTGGCCGACAGGGCCTCTGTTAGACGCTGTGGGGCCCCGAGCAATGTAAATCGCTGGCTCCACGTTTGTCCCTGCTTGGGAAATGGACCCCTGGGGCCATGCCGCCGCGGAGCCGACTGTGCGTTACTGGTGGTGTCTGACCGAACTATAGGCTCTTATCGACTCAGTGGACCCCTGATCAGCGAGCAAGGCCCTCTGGCTGGCATTTGAGTGACCCTGCGGGCCGGAACCCTTGAACATGATCCCTGACTGGCTTTTTGGGTCCTGCGGCCCTCAAATCGGGCCCGTAGTCGTAGGTTCCTCGGGCCCCTCGGAACCTAATAGGGAGAGAGGGAACATGCCCCGTGCCTTCCCGTACCTGCGCTACTGATCAACACCAATACATCACACAGATTTTGTGGGTGTTTCATCTCTTCTGTTAACATGCCCCCGGGTGGCCGGATAGCTACCCATCGCTCGGGTAGGGGTTCAGTTCGACCCCCCTGAGATCTCGGCAACTAAGGAAGCTGGAGACACCAAATTCACAGGGTATGTTGACCTGTACGTGAACTCACCTAATTGAAAGTTTGAGGTTCCTAGGTCATGACTTTGGGGTCAATAAGGTCAACAAGGTCAAATTCCAGGTTGGTCTCCAAAGTGCCCCCGGAACCTAGATAGCTGTCTCTAAGCAAGAGGTCACATGCCCATTTAAGTTCAGTGACCTTTTTGACCTTTCGAAGGTCATGGTGACCAAAATTATACAAAACTGCTCTGAGTTTGGCATCTGAATAAGCGACGAAGATAACGCTAGACGGCATGCTCCTAAAAACAAAATGTTGACCTGGGTCACTCTAGGTCAATGACCTATTCTGACCTCTAAGAAGTCTATGGAAGATGTGCAATGCGGTTCCTCATATCAATAAATTCAAAAGGAGCACCAAAAACTACCCCATACAGCAAGCCCTAGCGTAATAAACCAGGTTGATTTGACCTTGTTTTGACCTTCTTACCTGGCCTTAGGTTAATGTAATTTGTTCACTCAATTGTTGTGTTGCCTAAGAAAGCATCTCAGAGATGTATGGCTTCGTCTTACATTCCGTTGTTGCGTCAGATTGAACGATTCCCTAGAAATTAACTTTGCTGCAACCATGGTCTGACTTTGACCTGCCACAGGCCAGCAACCTTACAAGGTACTTCTAAATTGCTGATACCAAACGATCCGCTATTCCATTGTCTACAGCTATACAAAATTTGGCCGGCTACATTGCGCCGTTCGAACCATTCTGGAAAAACTTCGGGAGGGGTCGATTTGACTTCCTCGCCGATCGCGTGTTAACCATGCTTAGTGATGTAAAAAATTATAACACAATAATTGCATGGAATACTTGGATGCGTCCCGCAAAGCATTATGGGCTGCAGTTCAATTCTTTGCAAGCAAAGGTCACGTGTGTCATGTGGACTTTCACAACGCGCCTCAGCTGATGAAGCCAAATGGAATCCGCTGCCTCTCATTCCAGCTGGAAGGACAGAACCCTACACCTGTGGTTTTCCAGACTCGCAGTGTTGGACGCAGACGCGCTAAACGCTGCGTTATCGGCACCCCTATAAGGGCCAGACTTCTACGGTTTCGGCCATGTTAACGCTACGCGACTCCACGCCACACGCGTCTGTCTATGAGTGTTCCCTGACTGGCTCTGTATGTCTCACGCAGCGCGCCTGCTTCCCTGTCTGCCGCCCGCACCCACCAGCGGTCGCGCCGTCAACGTGTCGTCGGCGGCCGCATGCCGCGCCGTGTCGCCTGTGCCGTGACCATGCCCCCGGCTCCCCGCAGTTTCGCCTGCTGCCCATATCCGGCATTCCGGGGGCGTTTCGGATGGTCGCCACTGGAGAGCGGCCGCACCCGAGGAAGGCCGTGTCGGAGGACCGGAGCTCACTCGCCGCGCCACGGTCAGTCTGTGGTGCCTGCAGGCAATTCAACCGCGCTACACAACACAACAAACGCCACCTGTCGCCGGTCGAGCACAGAGAGCGGTTGCACGCATTGCAAAACCGAAAGCTGTCGGCGGTTCTCAAATGGTACGCACGTCATAACCTGCTCGAAGTTGGGTCGTTGCCAGGCATCGTCCACGAAAGACACGCCACATCCTTACGTACTTCTTAATGAGATTGAGATTGAGAAAGAATGAGAGAATGAGAGAGACCTTCGAATCGAGCAGCCCGATGTCTTGTCATCAGCTACGCAGCCGACAGTCCGCTCAGCAAGCAGCACCGGCATGATGCGCGAACACTGTGAAGAGGCTGGCGAGCGCTGAGAAGCGCCAGCCAATCAGTGGGCTGGCAGAGGACCTGGTCGGCCGGCTGCCATCCGCCGGCGCGAACCAAGCCTGCCTGGGCTGCGACATGGAAGCTAATCGAGCAGCCTCTGAATAGCACCGACCAGCGGTGGCCCCGCGGGGCTTCTTTGGCTCTGCGCTGCGCTGATTAGGTGGACAAACTACCGAGGCATGATGCCTCACGTGGATCACGTGGCTCGGACTGGACGAGTCACGTGTTATCTGAGGCGGCACCTGATGGCCAGAAGCAGAACGGAATGTCGTGTCACCAGCAAATAAATGCTTGTAGAATCATGCTATTAGCCTTACTTCATGGTGTCAATAGACTTACAACTTTGACGCACTCTCATTTTGTCCAGCTTTGATATGATATACGTCATTGAACACGCTGGCGTGCTGCTGGTAACTGGCCCTCCCTGCCAGTCTTTCCCGAAAGCTGCCGGCCAAGGGCGAATCTAGTGCTTAATTTTGAAGGCAACCGAGTCCGTAAGTTGGGGGTCAGCGTTCAGATACAAATTATGTCTTTGGCCTTCGTGGAGGCATGGTCCCGCTGACCGCTTCCGTCTGTCCATGCGCCCGATCTCTCCCATCACCTAGCCGTGTCAGTCACCAGAATTGACTTAGTCGAGTCGCATGTTGCTGAAGTTCGCTATGACCATAACTGGGGATTAAAACGGCATGACATGCAATTTCTGAGCAGCAGGGGCGCGGTCCGGCAAAGTAATTTACATGCAGGGTGGGGACTGAGCAGGGAAAACGACTAAACCTACCTCGCAAATGACCCCACAGTGAGTTTTTCTTCGTCTTTGGCACACTTTATTCTACAAGTTATGGACCGGAGTCCCCAACTGAATAAGAAACTACAATTCCTAATACGGCCCACTGGTAAAACTGGTGATCCTCTTGCGAGTAGTGTCATTAGAAGCATATGTCAATATACACGTCCTCAGTGCGCAGGCGGGCGTGAAAGCTGACGAGCGCTGGCTGACGAGTCGTCTCGTATTTTGACGAATGCGGAACTAAAGGTGTACTACATTCAACGCGTTTTCACAGTGGGGCAGGGCACCGACAGTGAAATAGTTAAGGAAAATGCTCCACATTTCTATGGGGGTTTTGAACAAAGATAGACATTTTGAAGACCTTTCAGTACAGTTCACAACCTCGCCCTTCCTAAACCCAAGCCCCTCTAGTTTCTGAGTTACCCACGGGCGAAAATGGGGAGAGTATTTCTGGGAGAGTATTTCTGGGAGAGTATTTCTGGTAGAGCATTTCTGGGAGAGTATTTCTAGGAGAGTATTTCAAGGTCTCCTTGACATCCACAACGTCATGACAACGTCATCCAAATACTGGCATCCCATAAGCCATGCGACGACCAAGACCAAGAAAAAATGTATTAGTCGAGTCATTCATATCTGCCGTCTGTGAACACCATTTCCAGATATAAAGCAAATGGTGCCCACAGACGAAATGGTGCTCACGAACATGGTGCTCCGTCAGTTGGCTCCCAATCAATGTTGTGCAGAGAACGATGATCTAAGCAAACAATGATGTATCGAGGAGCATATTTACTTAACAGAAAAATTACTTTGTTTAGAGCAGTCCATTCCAGTTAAAGGATATTCATAGTTATAAGTGAGCTTGTTTCATCATGTATGATGCTTGCTTCAATATCTTCAAATGTGAAACATCCCCTTTAAGCTGCACGCCTGAGAAACCAGCGGTACGGGGTTTGATTCCCTGCCGTACCCACCCTTGCTTCAGCAGATGGGTGGGTCATAAAGCCGTCATAATGTTGGTGATGATGACATTGCCTCGCTTAGCCCAAACCTTGATTCATGTGTAACTCGGCCTCTTTACGGAAATATGTAAAGCAATTTTGTTCCGAAAATATTAATATCTCCAAGATGCAACTGATGATCGAAGCACTCCACTCACGTCAAGATAGCCAAAGCTTGTTATTACCGTCCCCACCTCATTCGAGAGGCGGCTGAATGATTGGATGATCACGGGCAGCTGATACCTGGAAATATATAGATTCCTTCCAGCCGTCCGACAGGGGTCAATAAATCAGTAACTGGCGCCAACCTCGGCGACATATCGATGAATCGAACAATTTCGGAAAAACGCACATCGTATTAGCTGACAGGCGGTAAGCTAGGTCCCACAACACTTATCATAACGCGACATCAGTTTCATCACCGAGCTAACTGCGCGAAATCGGTGTCATCACCGAGCTATCTGTGGCGACACCGGTGTCATCACCGAGCTATCTGAGGCGACATCAGTGTCATCACCGAGCTATCTGCGACAACAAAAAGCACTCATAATCGTAATATACGTGCTACACCTCACACGAATTATCAATACCAAATCACTAAAGCACACGAAAAAGTGTAACGAGAATGCAACACGGCGGCAAATGTAATGACTTCATGCAACCCGAGAACGCGATGCTGTTAGTTTAGCCACTTCCTTCTTCCGTGAACCACTGTCGAACAAATTTAGATTCAAGTGTCAGAGGAGGAAGAGTCAAGAACCCCTGCAAATACGCCCCGGGATGATACAGAACTACCAAAAATATTCAGACAAATCACGTCGTGCTTTTTGCAACAATACTTTTTCTGGATTTTTATCTTAATGGCACAGCATTCCGTCAATCATGATATTTATGAATAAATAAACAATAAGACAAAAGCATTGCCATAAGATATCAATCAAATAATTAATAAATAGCATCGCGTATAACTGTCACTACAGATTAACGTCGTTCTACTGGCATCGCGGTGCAATTTCCAAACAATAGCAGACAGCCATTGTTTACACTTAGTAAAAACAAAGCCTGTCACCAGTCGCCTACCATTACCCCCAAATTTTGGCATCTTCCCATCATGCAGTGCGATACATTTTTCTAAGCACATGTATCGCTTTCCGAAATTGACGACGTCTTGGAGTAGTGGAAGTCTTGATGCAGTTCCGCAGCGCCAAACGAAATGTCTAACCAGCGCTATGAATAGCTGAAAAGTATTCTTTGTCGATGCGTTTCATGAAAACAGGTCACTAATGCCGACTTTCAACGGAAATTGAGGCGAAATACTAACTTCAATCTCCGAATCTATCAGAAAACATGGGCACAGTGGCAGGAACAAAATGCTGTGGTGTGATTCTTTTGGCTCTGGATTTAATTTCATTGTAGTCGTTGTCCCTCACATCATAAATACGCAGCAACTCCTTTCTGTTCAACTTCTTCGGTAGTGTAGACAGCGAAGTTTGAAGTCTGCGAAATACTAATAATTAGGTGTTTGTGAAGCTGCAGGACCGGCGTAAAAGGCCAGGCAAATATTATTCCGAACTGCATGCAGCATGCTCTAGTGAGCAAATTAATGATACATTTTGCAGGAGCCCAGTACATGCCACTATGGTGCTTTGCGCAGTGAGTTTTCTAGTTGCGTTTTTGTCTGTCAGCATCACGTAATGGTGTACTGCATTTTCAGCTTGCCGGCGCTGTCATCGCTCATATTTACTGACCGAAGCAATTTCCAAAATGTCTCCCTGTATAGCATCTTTCAATATCAACGTTTGGTTAATGCTGTACAACGCCAGGTTGAAATAAGAAGCAACAGCGCAATTTGTAGCGGAGTCAACCAAAACAAACTGTTCCTCCATTATCCCCACCAGTAGGTTTTAAGGCCCAGAAAAAAATGCACAATGAGGTGAAGCGACTAAAAGACTTGCGTTAAACACACATTTTCACCTTAAATATACTCCTCGTTTATTCTGTCCCCACCATTCTGAACCAAACCAGCCATGCATTGGTCTGGGGCCGGCCAGTAGTGAATCCAGGCTGCGACGCTAGAGCATTGGTCTAGGGCCGAACAGTAGTGAATCTAGGCTGCGACAATAGAGCATTGGTCTAGGGCCGGCCAGTAGTGAATCCAGGCTGCGACGCTAGATCATTGGTCTAGGGCCGAACAGTAGTGAATCCAGGCTGCGACGCTACAGCTATTTTTGACGGGGTCTTTAAGCAATGCTGCTTTGTTTGCTTCCCGTTTATTGCGTTTTCAGAGGCAAAGTGTCATCGTTTCGCCTGCACAATTTTTTAAGGAATAGAGTTAATTGTGCATTTGGGTCGGTCTGAATTTAAGTGTCAAACTGATCAAGTGTCTGTGTCAAGTCAAGTGTCAAACTGCTAAGTGTCAAACTGTCAAGTGTCAAACTGTCAAGTGTCAAACTGACTGATCAAACAAAATCAATCTCGCTTTCACCATAGGCCCGCTGTATCCTCCCCGAACAGAAGATTATTAAGTTGGAAAAACATTTATCACTCATTTTTTTGCGTAATGGACTCACGTAAGAAGCTCCAAGGGATTGGAGCAGCCAAACAAGTTTCGCTGTTTCTTAAAAGTGAGCAAATAGTGTGATCAGCAAAAAAGTCGTATTAAACCAATGCATACGGATGAAGTAGAATATTTCCAACTTCCGCGACATTTTTTCGGTTGAAAGCTATGTACTCAAACGCTGCCATGATGGAAGAACTGCTACCACGTACTTGTATCCGCTTGGTAATCTCCTACAGCGCACATGTAAGGCCCGGAACTCGTTGAGCCACCTTCCATATGATTGCTGCAGAATGAGCACATAAACCCGGACGAGTATCGCGCAGGGGATTCGTGTATTCAAAGATCTGTAGATGAATACCCGGTCTCCAAGAAACATCTAACTCAGCTGCTGGCTGGGAGGATCAAGTGTGAATGCGCGGACTTCGCTGAGATACAAACCGACTATGTGACGCCTTTTTCTGCTTTCAGGGCGCCAGAAAGGACACCGATCTCGGAGATGGACAGCCGATCTCGGAGCGGTCGAGGAGGACTCTGGAGTCTCCTGCCCCCGTCTGGGAGGAGGACGAGGAGTACTACGAGCTCAGCCCGGAGCCCGAGTTCGAGCGGGACGCCTCCCCCTACCTGAGCTCCGAGGCGGAACCCATCCCAGATCTGGAGCCCACCATGGGCTCGTACCCGGCCCCTGAGCGCGAAGAGGAGGAGGAACCGGACATCGAGATTGACCCCGATCTTGACGCTGACCTCGAGGTTGACCCGGACAGAGAGCCCTCCGCAGAAGCGGAGCATGAGCCAGAGGTGAAGGCCAGTTCTGAACCTGCAGACGAACTCTATCCAGAACATGATGCAGAGGAAGAGGGCTACCCGGAGCACGAGCAGGATGCTGAGCACGAGGCTGTGCCTGACTGCGAGCGCTTTGGTGACGATGTTGAGGATGACGTACGTTTCGGGTCGCCACCGGCCCAGGGCCAACTCGCGGAAGGTAAGGGTGCACTGTCTACACCACTAAGTGCGGATGTCATTTCTTGGGAGTGTTGTAGGAAATACGCCAATGTGCCAATCGTTGCGTTTCAGTGCCACGTGAACGGGACAGCTGATCAGTATTTGGTGGTGTATTGCTTGGTTTAGCAAGCCACCTCTCGCCACCCATAAATTCGTGGAATCTCCCCGTCGTGCACGGCTGTGTTGCTGTCGTAAACTGTGCTATAGCCTGAGCTGCATGGCGCAGCTCTTTGCAAGCGGTAGGAGCACATGTGAATCTATGCGAATATCTTAATGATTACCGGCCATCATTGCGCAACACAACGCATAGAGATGCACCCGTGATTTGGCTGTGTTTTTCACTACTGGGGAGAGCTAACAGGTATTTGTATTTGACCTGTTCGCATGGTGTGCCATCGATTCATGCCAGGCAAGAACAGGCAATAGCCCCTGCGTGAGACCGGTACGTTGGTGTTTCAGATTGCAAGGATGCTGGTGCGTCGCTCGACCAAGACGATCAGGCGCAAGACGCGTGGTGAGTGCAATATAAGTCTTGCACAAAAGTGTTTTATGCTTGGTGTAACCAAGCAAGGCCCTGAGCTTCGGGTGTTCAGAGTTCAGCCTGGGCCCCCCGGCATGGCACCTGACAAACCACCGAGGACTGTCAGTCAGCTTCTCCCCTCCGCCTCCCCGAGCCATGCCCCGCCCAAGCCCCGCCACCCACGCTCCGCAGTGGTGGCGCGCGGTCCTGACGAGCGGTCCGCCACGGTCCGCGGCGCCGCCACCTCCTGCCATCGCTCGGCCATCGGCGGCGCTCGGGGCCGGCCGCCGCCGCCGCTGCCGTCGCTGCCGCCGCCGACGGCCGGCGTTGCGCGCACATCTCACCATCGATTCGGACCCGGAGACGGCGGGCCGCTGGTGGCGTCGGCCGAGCGCGGTCTGACGGCGCAGTGTACCGCTGACCGCCGCCGTGGCCCGGCATGACCTCCGTGCTGCAGATCCCCCTGCTGCGGCTCGGGTGAGTGGTGACCCGGAGGTGGCGGGTCGTGGGAGGGGTCACCTTGTTGGCGTTAGAGGGCGCTGACTCGAGGTACGTTACCGACTTGGATGACATTTTTCAAACCCTTTGTGGTGTATGAGAGACCAGATGAGCTTGTGTCAGAAATTGTGAACCTACGCAGTATTTGTGCGGTCCCTTTGTCCCTAGAAGCTTGCAATCATCACAATATCAATTATATATCAGCAATCAATATCAAATAATGTATTACAATATCAGCCATTAATCACAATATCACAATCGAACTTCAAGGCACTGCCACTACCCAAAAAACAAAAAAACAATTCATTCTCTCCGAGAACGGGCAAAGCGTGTTGTTGCGGCTTGTCGAACGGGCAAAGCCTACTCTGCGTGTGCTTGGGCTCTTCAGCCTCAGCACACGCAGAACAGCGGAAATATTACATTTGTTGCTTAATATATACTGCAGGCCGGCGCTGGATTCGAGGACTTGGCCATATTGCGGTTACTGGATGCCACACTGTTCTGCTCTTCTCCCACTTATCTTAGAAACCAATGGGCTGGTCCCACCGATAGTGATGCGGAATTCGCAGTCCAGTGCTCTGTGATCTAGACAATGTATTCTTGGTATCGAAGTCGGTGGCAATGTCAGGTCAACTCAAGGTCAATGATTGATTCTCAGGGAGTTGTGAACTGTGCTTTCTGTGCTATCTAGACATATCAAACAACGGCTTGGATGGCCAAAAATGGTTTGTGCACATTTCCGATGTCTGGCAAGTTTAGAATTTGTTGTTGACTTCATTGGAGGGGGGAAGGGGGAGGGGGGGATTACCTCTTGGTCACTGCACAGAGTGCAGCCCAGTGCAAACCTGCGTTGGAGAGGAGTTAAGTCGTTCGATGTGCCGACATATAGTGTTGCTTATGTTTGCTGGTGGGGATCTTATCACGATGTCAAATACATGCATCGTTTTCCTTTTTCTACGTTGCAATTTCTCAGGTCAGAGAACAGGTCAACCCCACAAGTCAAGCAATGTCCAATAGTGTGCCCCTAGAGTCACTACCAATTGGCAATTATCTTGCACAAAAGCAAGTCTTTATGTCTTAGTCATGACACTCTGAGAGGTTGAGCATAGCATAGCACGGCTACTAAGACTTCAATAGCAATGCTCTATCTAAAACGTGGAGGAGCGATCCTGATCATTTTCCTACAATGATTACATGCATGCGCATCCAAGGCTGCATGTGGCGTCGCACCAAGTATATATGCAGCGGGAATCGTTGTTTAGCGAAATGTCCCATTTGTTGACATATTTGGACACCACGTAGCACTGACATTCTTACGCATAATTGAGTTTTAGAAAATATGACGGAACTAACAGCCTTTTTTCTCGTAGCATAGCCAGGAGAATGGAGGGGCGGATGTATTGATGTTTCGGCTACATGCCTCTGTCGAAACAAATACCAGTAGCAAGTTTGACATTGCTCCTGACATTCCTTTCCATAACGGCATATAGCTGAAATACCACTGCATCTGTTTGTTCATCTGGCGATTCTAGAAGGAATGAGGGTATTAGTGCTGTCTTGTTCGTAAGCATAATGCTTCCCGCAAATGCACTGACAGCTTACGTAACCTTTCCAAAAGCCCGCTGTAGTATATCGTATACTTCTTAGATATGTGAAATTTCGGACAGATAGATTATTCTTATGAATATCGTGGCTAGACTTCAAAAGTGTCGAACAGAAATCGCCAGAAAGACACCTCTTGCACGGCATGCATTTAACACTCCATGCTAATTAATCACCTGCTAGAGCACGCGGCCCTCCTGTACTTGTTTTCTCGAGAGGCACAAGTGTTTTTTTTTTCGTAGAGCCTATTTTCACAAACATGTGTGGTCTTGGTCGACTGCGCAGCTTGTGCAGTAGCATTCTGCAGCCCTAGGATGTTGGAAGACCTTGGCCTGGTAAAACCTTGCCCTCTAAATACCTCAAAGGGAGGAAGCCGTAGACTAGAGTCGGGGAACCGGGACGGCAGCTCGTGAGCCATGTTGATCGAAATGGGCCTGTCACCAAACCGCTCCTCCGCCACGATCGTGCCGTCCCGCTGGGGTAATGGACATGCAGGCTGTCGATACAATGCAGCTGCGGTCAAACTACAACAGGCCAATGAGCCATGAACAGTCGATCGCGTAACAAGCGTGACTGTCAGCAGTGCAGCAGTCTCTGCTACACCATGCGTGACTGTTAGCCGCGCAGCAGCCTCTGCCATACCATGCGTGGCTGTTGCCGTGCAGCGGCCTCTGCTATACCATGCGTGACTGTAGCCGTGCAGCAGCCTCTGCCCTACCATGTCAGCTGCGTAGGTTCTCTAGAACGAGTAGTCTGTAAATTCAAGCCACTTTCCACGTCAAAATGAGCTTCATTTAACATTCATATCTATTCCAGAAATGCATCGTATTTTTTGCTACTGCGCTGAATCAGCCATGAACAGAGCGATTTCTGGCCCCCGTGTCATTTCCTTGCGGGATGTGGCGAGTCCATGTTTTGAAAGGATACACTCCGGCATCCCCTTTGAGAATCCTATTCGTGGCCTTTGAGCCCCACCCAAGCTCTTCCAGCAGGTGGCGGACTGACTTTCTAGGTAATTGGTTGCTAAGGAATGTCTTTCCGGTTCGTGAAAATTGGATTCCTGTCATCTCGGTGCGAACATTCTTGCTGAGTTTTTTATCGATCCTTCACAGATATACTTTTCTATGAACTTACTCGTAAATATCACGGTCCTCGTTAAGACTGTCATCACTTGAAATCACCTTGTAAATGGATTTGTCTTTTGGTGGACTTGGCCTTAAGTCGAAATTTCACTGACCTTTTTTAAAGCCTGCCATCCAAAAAATTAATGGCATACAATGGCAATGCTGACACCATATATAACCACCTATGAATGTTTTCCACCCAAGGATATTTTTCTACCGAGAGCTATCATTTCGTGCATAAAACTTTGATGGAATGCAGAAGCTTTCAGTGAAGAACAAAAATATCCCGATTCGTGTAGAATGCTCCCGTATATAGCCTACATGTTTTGATAGAAGTGGGGAGCAAATTAACGCATTGCCGTCCACATTTTCATCCGTCATTTTTATAACCCATGGTTCAACCAACAACGATCATGGTTTCCGCCTCAGGCCATGGGCGGGGACTAGACCGTCAACTAAAAAAAAAACAACACTGAATCCGTACCTAAAGCAGGGAGCCTCCAGAAAGCGTGGGCAAACATATTGTTTTACATTCCAGCCGTAACATAGATTCATATTGCTCAGCAAAGCTAGCAGTTAGTCTGAAATGTCCAAAAAATACTTCCTACTTGCGTCTGTGCATGTTTGCATCACTTCCAGCGTGATGGACACATTTGTCAGAGGTCATGAGAACACAATTTTGACCGCCTTTCATCGGTACGCTGTTGGGACAGCAGGACGATTTTTGCTGAGGCGAGCGTCGCCCAACTTGACGCTTGATGCCTTTTGCTAACGTGCAGGTAATCTGAATCTATTGCCATGATGAAGACATCGCATGACAAGAAATGCCAAGAACTTAAAAAGATCACATTACCAATATTTTTGATGCCTCCAATGACACCACTTTGACGTGAGTATGACGCCTTTTGCTGCATGTGCCGAGTAAGGTGCTGTCAAGTAGCGACTGCTATCGCCATGGAGCTGATATCGAGCCGTGACCGCAGATGCCGAGTCCGTCGCCTTTGAGAGCCGACACGAGCGGCTTTATCAATGCGTCCGAATATTTGACTCTCCCAAGCTAACAAGGGCAATAAGGCAAATGAGGCATTTGTGTTTAGCGCTCACGTAGAAATTCGATATTTGATGAAATGCGACCTTGCTGGAATGTTGGCTGGCTTTGGGCCTGCCAAAGTACAGCGACTTTGATTGACAATATTGAGGGATCTTAGCCAGTCGATCTCAGCAGCTTGCGGTCCTGTTGTTTGAGGCGGGAATATTGAGAAAACTAGCATTTTGTAGTGTATTAGCCACCATACTCTTTTCTGTACATAGCTAGCTTTCTTCGAAGTGTCCATAGACTTAGGCCGTATCTTGCTCAGGGCGGTTTCGGAGAAGACGACGCTGTTCACTCTTTAGCCACTCTTAGCGCTCCTTTATCTGGCTAGTGTAGGTAATATACAGCCGGTACTTTCACTGTCGCAGCACAACTGGTTTGATGTTTCTTCCTGCTCTTGTTGCCGAGATTCGACACCGACATCGCGACATGGACGGGTCTACAATCTGCGTACGGTGGTCCGTCATAGTCTGCACTCGTTGACTCTCGCCATTGCCAGTATGGGTGCCGGCGTTCTCGTCCGTCGGTGTTGATATGTCCGGTGTCGCTGCGACGTTCGGTCGTCGGGATTCTAAACCTGTTTTCGATCTGAGCTCCCAGATTTTTCCTGACGGGAAAATTCTGCGTTTCCATTTCGATGACATGAGGAGGTGAAGCACCGGTGATGCGTCGTTACA